CTTATAGGAATGAGGACTACATCTGAATAAAGTAACTGATTGCAGAGAAGCAAAGTCAGAGAAGAGAGATTTTGTAAAGCTTGTATTTATAACCCTTTAAAATTATACAAGGGCAAAAGGTTTGAAAGCAAAGTAGATGCATAGAGTTTAGTCATGTATAATAAAATGTTGCTTAATGAAGTGCTGAAGAGAACTATAGGTAGCCCCGATATCTCTCACTCAGAAGATGGAGACAGTATTGTGTTCATATGGTGGGATACTAATCAGTAATCAAAGGAGTGAACATGGAAGAACAGCAAGAATGTTGTATTGCCTCATAGGAGCTTTGTGCAGAAGAGGGCATACTGTGTGATCCCACTGACGAAACTCCAAAACAGCAGAACTAATCTTCTGGGACAAAACTTAGAAGCATTATTACCACTGGGAAAGAAGATGGTGAAATGCTGTGCTGCGATAGTGACCCAAGTCTTGGCAGGCTTGCATGACGTGGATATTTGCATTTCTTAAAACTCATGGCAGGGTGCATTTGTGATCTGTCCATTTCACCATATGTCAGTCTTACCTAAGCATGCAAATATATAATCCTTGTGAATATGAGGGCTGCAGCTTTAGGGCTGACAAATATTGATGTCTACAAATTACTTTGAAATACATAAAACAGATTGAGTTGGTGGATGGGTAGGTAGTTATATAGCTATGTATTGACCTCAGTGTAAAATATTGTTGAATCTAAGAGGTGGCATGTGAGTGCTATACAGTTCAGCTTGTCTACTTATTTGAAAATGTTTGTCATAAAATGCTTGGGAAATTTGAAGGAACTATGATTTACCAGAACGGGAGCCCGTGAAACACAGAGGTTAAGAGGCCAGAGTGTGGAAGTACAGCTTTGAGTTTTGATTGTATTTGTTGAATCTTTTACTAGTTTTGAGAACTTGGACAAGATGTAATAGGTCTTTCTCACTACATAAGATGAAGAATAGCTATATCATGGCTTTATGAAGATTTAGAACGTTAAATTATATGAGAGCTATCAAGGTGTTTGGGATATAATGAGGTATCAATAAAAATTACTTTAAAAAAATCAGAAGAGGATTAAAAACCAGTGTAATTAAAATCATAGTTTGGTTTTCTGCAAGAGCTAATTTTAAGTAAAAATATTTCCTAACAACTATCACATGTATTTTTCAGTAGCTTGCAAAGAATAGAAATGATGGATGTTAATTATTTTTAAATATTTAAATATTTTCTTTCAGTTAAAATATAGTGTTCTAGAAAAATTATTTTTCTTTATAAATTTTGTAATGTCAGAGCAATTTTGCGCATTTGTTGTGTTTTATTACCAAGATTGTGTGTTAGGAGAACAGGAAACAAAATGAGCAGATAGGACTCTTAGCCACAGAGACCCGGCAGCTTTCAGTGTGATGTTCCATGTTCTTGAGACAAGAAACACCAGGCCAAGCTGATAGCCGACACGTGTGGTGGATGTTTACTTCACATTACATTTTAAATAAATAGCTTCTAGACAGGAGATAGATGGAAGTCTCTAGAGTAGTGCTATCCACTAGAACTTTCTGCCTCTGAGCTGTCCCTTGTGATAATTATTGTCACAGGTGCCAATAAATGACACATTGAAGTATGGCTAGTGTAACTAAGGAATGACATTTTTCATTTTATCTGACCTGAACACATGGCAGTGGCACCAGATTATACAGTGCATTACTTGAGTGTATTTATCAGTCCAAAAGATCGTTACCGGGGCTGGGGAAATAGCTCAGTGGAATAAGTGCTTCCCTGGCAAGTGCAAGGGCCTGAGTTCAATCCATGGTTCTGCCAAAAAAACAAAAAAAACAAAAAAACCCCACAAAAGATCGTTACCTCAAATTTCCAGTCTGCTGTAAACTACTATTTTTGTAGAATACGATAAAAATAAAATAAAAAAAGTCAAAGATATGCAGTCCTCCCTGCCCCTGGTGCTCTACCATTGAGCTTCTTCACTGGTCCTTTTAATTTATTTGGTCATGTGATAGAGTCTCCCTAAGTTTTCTATACTGGCTTCAAAAATGGGATCCCTGCCTCAGGCTTCTGACTAATTGGAATTAGAGTCAAATGTCATCATGCTTGTCAATTTTCCCTTTATTAGATTCAGCAAACATAAGATTACTCTGTGAAAACTGTTATAAAAATTTCTAAACACTCTCAACTTCAAAAATTTATGTCACTATATACAAATGAAAAGTAGATGAACTGGGTAAATGTGCTTAAAATAAATAATTTCTTCAAAGTAAATGTTTATACTTAAGTTACTAGTACAAATATGTTTTAAAATATAATTCGATAATACAGTTGTTGATATAGTTAACATTTTTTGTAGAAAGTCTTGTCTAGGATGGCTGAATATTGGTAGTGCAGTGTGGATAACTTCAAGGTGGACTGAGAAGGCTTATTTGATCCAGTGATGCCATTTTTGCAGCTGGAATTGTAAGCAGAAAATTCTTTCTTTCTATAAAGTTCAGCCCGGTGCTTACAGCAGCCAAATTTGCTCAGCAATAGAAAGAAATCCCTTCGGAATGCTTTTGTGAAAATTGCGTATAGAAACGGGTTGGCACAGGAATTAACAGGATAAAAGAGAACCAGCAGAACTTTAGAGTTGGTTACCGTGATGAGAGGCACCTTGAAGGCTGCGGAGATGGCAAAGAAAGAGATGGGTGCCATGCAGGTGAAGTCAGTGAAGATGAGCACTGCCATTTTCTTTGCGATCTTGGTATCTTTGTTGGTAGCCACCAGCTCTGGATTTTGAACTGTAAAGTAAATCTTAACGTAGCAAGCACAAATGACGATGAAGGCTATCACATTGAATATCAGGATGGTTAGTATGTAGACTTGGGAGAGAGTGCTTTCCACGTCCATGGGAAGGCAAATGCTGACCTTCCTGTAGCTGCTGACACCCACCAGGGGCAGCAGGGCGATGAGCGTGGACAGGAGCCACCCTCCCAGCATGACCGCAATGGCATGTCTCAGCCGCAGCCTTTGGTCCAGCTGGACGGCGTAGGTGATGGTGTGCCATCGTTCTAGAGTGATGACTGCCAGGGTGTAGACAGAAAGTTCGCTTGCAAACACGGTGAAAAAACCCGCAGCCCTACACCCACTCCCAGTCTGCCAGTCGATGGCGTAGTTGTAGTACTGGCCCCTTGTCTGGGAATCAACGGAGGCAACGAGCAACAGGTAGATCCCCATGCAGAAGTCAGCGAAGGAGAGGTTGCACATGAGGAAGCGGGGCACTGTCAGCTTGTAACGGCTGGTCAACAGGACGCAGAGCACGGTCAGGTTCCCCGTGATGGCTAGGACACTGATCAACCAGATGAGCGCTCTCAGGAAGCCGTAGCCCATGATGTCCTCACAGGGATTAAAGGCGTCGGGCTCAGGAGCACACTGGAGCGTCTTGGGCGAGCAGAAGCCGTAATCATAGTCCCAGCCCGCCAGCTGGCTTTCAGCAATGATGGCAGAAAAGCTGTAAGGACTGCAAACTTAAGTTGTTAGCCCTCCAGAAGAGAAGCTTCATGATATTATTACCCTGTAGCATAAGGCAGTTGAGCTTAACATCACTATCTGTCTGAACATCAAATGCCTTAGACATAACATGGAACAGGTATTTCCCAATAGTTCTTGATATGCTAAACTTTAAATTCCTATAGAATGTGAAAAGAAATAAAAATAAATAATTATACATTTTTGCACAGAAATTTAAAAAACAATATACAACATTGTAGCAGTACAGTTCTACGACATTTTTTTCTTGTCTCTTGTTTCTTCTTTTGGCGGAATCGGGGATTGAACCAGGCCTTTGTGCTTGCCAGGAAAGCACTTATTCCACTGAGCCATTTCCCCGCCCCTCGTGTTTCTTTTATTACCTTTTTTAAAAAAACAAACATTTACTTGAGAGCATAGCAATAATTGATACGACATTAGAAGGGCTACAAGGACAGCCAATATTTTGGCCTTAGCCCCACAAGGTCAGTGAGGACTCAGGACATAAGAGAACCTGTACTGTAATGTCCTGTAACTCAGTGGTGTCCCAAGTTTTGTGTTCAAGGAGATTATGAGGACACAGCGGAAAGTGATCGATGATGTAGAGTGTGCCTAAGGAGAGTCACATGGAGAGAAAACATTCTCTCAGGCTTTCACAGAGAGCAAATTGGTCAAGCAATGGCCATGACTCATCCAGATGGCTGACACTGACGAAAGATCTACAAATATGGTTTCAGGGTAAATCCTGAAGGGATTTGACTGACCTTGTCAGATATAAAAGTTACATTTTTTGTTATATAGGTCTTGCTCTATCTTGGTCTTAACCATCCAGCATAAAGATATAAACACGAGGTGTAAAAAGTAAAGCCATATTAATATGCTGAGCTGTAAAAGGCTCAAGTCAACAACTTCTGACATTGCTAGTTCTGTGGATAACCCACTGCTACTATTGGACTATATTGGATTATTTTGCTGAATTCACACACCTACAAGATTTGAATGGCAATGGAACACCCATCTCTGATAAAACTAAGTAAAAAAGGGGGATATAAATGAAGGTCCATTTTGTAGTGAAAAAAATATATATCTGTATATACAAAATAGGATAGAAATACAGCTACTTTCTTTTAGCTCACCGAGAAGATTTATATTAATAGTGTCTAGACAAGACATCATGTCTGTATCTTGTACTCTAATAACTACTATGAAGACAACAGTATGCAAAGCATTAATTATTGTAACTGTCCTACTAGCCTGTTTTGAAGTTGTCTCGTTGCTATTTATTTCCCAGTGAAATTAATAATAAAAAAAAGCTATAAGGAGAGTGCTGGCTTGGTAAATGCCTGAGACTCGGCGCATTAAGACAGTTCAGTAACAATCTTTGGTATCTAATTAAAGCTCAAAAACCAAAGGTAAGCAAAGCCGCAGCAGCCTCAGCCTTATGTTTATTTGTTAAATTACTTGATTTGGTGGAGCTCCTTAAGAGGGGCATGAAAAGCCACTTAAGTGCTACGGTACGTATCTGCTTAACACACTGATGCAAAGACTTAACAAAGCTGTTTACAGAGGATGATTTTCCTTGGAAAATGAATGCAGAGATACAATACATACTTGCTAGACCTAAAATCATCCTTCCTTGGCATTTTCCTATGTATTTTTTTTTACCTCCTGTAGTTGCCAGCCAAAGTGCTGTCAGGCTGTAGCAGCACACCCGTGGGACTGGAGGCTTGCATGGTTAAGAACTGACTGTGGGCACGTTCACAGTTAAGTTCCTGGCTAATCAAGAAGCTGACTGAGAAACAGGAAGCGAGGACAGAGCATGGGAAACCTAGGAGCAGAGTGAGAGCAGTTGTACATGGTGGGCAGACACAGGAAGAGTAGGCACCTGCTGGCGGCGTAGGTCAGACTGCCTGCTGAAGACATGGGCTGCCACTGCCCTCCCACTGTCTCCTGGCACCTCCTGAGTTCACGCTTGCATCTTCTCTTGTGGGGAAATTAGGAGTTTTCTTGATCCCCATTCTCCAGGTTTAGCCATCTTCTCATTTCAACTGGTGTTTTCCTCCTGGGATGACCTCTCCTGAACATGCAGTAGGAATTTTGCTTGTCCTACTCCAACCCTACCCACAGTTTCAGTGGCAATGAGGTAAAATCCGACTCCTGTGATAGCCCTAAAGGGCCTCCTTGTTCTGGGCCCTGCCTGCCTCTGCAGGCTGAAGTCCAAGGAGCAGCAGTGCCGCAGGGCTCCGGACCTGGGCTCTAGGGTGCGACTGCCAGGCTCTTGTGCTGTAACACCTGCTGGCAGACTGCCTAAGGCTGGGAAGGGAGTTGGCACCTTCACGCCTCAAGCTCTTCCTATGCCAGAAAATGCCCACACCCTCCTTGTTAAAGTTATGTTGGGAGGGGGCTGGGGGGATAGCTCGGTGGTCTGAGTGCCTGCCTGGCAAGCTCTAGGACCTGGGTTCAATCACTGGCACCTCAGTCTCACTGTGAGTCCGAGGTGTGCAGTGAGACCTGTACCAAATAGATAATAGAGTTATGCTAAGAATTGAAGGCATTAATGCACATATTGCTTCTTGCAAGTCTCGCACAATGTTCCGTTTGGTCATATTAAGGACATTGTAGCTCTCTGAATGAGTAAGTTCTGTTGCTTTTCTCCCCTGCCTTTGCCTATTTTCCTCCTACCTGGATATTTTCTTTCTTCGTATCTCTTGTGAATTCCTTCTCATCCTTAGAGACAAATTGCCCTGAATCCCTTCTCAGTTCTATTCTCCAAGGAATTTATTATCCTTCCTCTCTGCTAGGGTTGCGTTTATCAAAGCATTGCAGTTGATGATCAATGTCTCTCTTCTTTAACAGTCTCTTAGTATCCTGAAAACAGGGATTAGTCCTTATTTCTGAAATCAAAGTGCCTAGCACAGTTTGGGCTCAGAGTGTCCACTCAGTACATGTTTTTGTCATGAATGGTGACCCTGGACCTGAGAGGCACTGATGGATGCAGGAACACCGTGCATGTTCCGTGTGGTGCATGTGAGCTCAGCACACTTTCTCTTTGATCCTCCTCTAGGAGCTGGAGAAATGGGCATAACTTTCCTGGGATGCCCATTACAAATTATATTAACTGTGGAGTTCTTATATGGAAAGTATTTTCCCAACTCAATAAACTTCTCAAATTCTGTGTGAGGTGTGTACCTAATTTAGTGAGTGGAAGAAAGAATATATTTGAGGAATATAATACCTAAAGGGAAAACCCACAGTTTTTTAAAAAGAAAACTCCAAAAAGATGCTAAACTATTGTAGAGCCAAATCTGGAGCCGAGAGGAGGCCTGCTGCTCTCAGTATGCGGAGCACCCAGGCACCCCATCTGTTTGATTATTAAATACAGTATCTTTACAAACAGGTTTATCTTCACATCACAGATGTCAATATAATTACTGGTTTGATCTTTTAAAAAAGAAGATGGTTGTAAAGAACCATTGGACAAACATTGTTCCAAGCACTGGGTGCTCACAGGCCACTTCACAGAGCCCTCACTTTATTAGTCAGGAAGCCAAGATGAAGGGCAGTAAGAAGCTTGCCCAGAGACTGCCAGGGGACCAGTGAGAGCCCCAGGTCTCCCCATCCATGGCCCAGAAACCTTCTGGTACCCTTCATTGTTCTTCAGGCAGTGCTCTTCTAAGTGCGGGCTTGTCCCACTTCCTCCGGAACCACAATGGTGTTTGTTAAAATGCAGATTTCTGGTTTACCCCACATAATGCTGATGCAGAATCTCTAGGGACAGAGCCCAGAAACCTGCATTTTAAGAAAATTCTCTGGATTTTATATTCATATAAAATAGTAAAAAATCACATAAAAAATGTTCTAACTCCTGCTGCCTTGATTTCCTTTACCTCTTTCCTCTAATCAAAAGCATTTCAGCTGCTAGAAGCACTAATTTAAAACTTCCTAATCTTTTGTCTGGGGCTGGGGGAGATAGCTCAGTGGAATAAGTGCTTCCCTGGTAAGCGCAAGGGCCTGAGTTCAATCCCCGGAATCAACACATATTAAACATGTTCCCATCTTCCCCCTTGGTCTTTGGCCCTTTCTCCTTTCTCTGTACTGGGCATGTGTCTGACAGTTTTTTTCCTTGGGGATTGGTCTTCAGACTGAACACCCACCTGATTCTGCTTCCTCTTGGGTCCTGGATGGCTTCTGAAGGCAGACTCGAGCCTATTGATAAAGCCTGGCAGGAGAAATCCTTCCTACTAGAGGCCCTGTCAGGGAGTGTGGATGGACTCATGGACCCTGACAGAAGCAGAAGTACTGGTGCTGCTGCCACCGTCCCAGAAAGAGAAAAGATGACAATTTTAGCATGAGCACAGGACAGTCCTCGTGTGAGAGAACAGGGTGTTAGCTTGGGAAGAGCAGAGAAGGCATGGCTGCTTTTAGGATTTCTAAACTGTAGGACCTCTTAGGAATGGCTCTCTGGTGCGAAGTGGGAGGTCAGGGATTTATAAAAAACATGATTTCCAGCAGAAACCTGCAGTCTAGTTGTACAAACCATCCTGCTGGTCTGTGGAAAAGAGTAGTTGGTGCTTAATTTGTTCTGGTTCCCTTTTATCCATTTTTTTGGCCTTTTCTTGATTTTTTGTATATTTGTTTCTTTTTTTCTTCCAATTTTGCATGCTTATATCTAGTAATATGTACAACTAATTTGAAGATAGTACTGCTATACAACCAATACTGTGAAATTCATATTATTTTGTTTGGCGAAATTCTGTATCACTTGTAATTTTTCTGTTTTAATACTATTGTGTACTTTTTACAAAATAAAAATTAAAAAGTTTTCACAGAGAGCCATTTTGTTTGTAGGAATTTTAAAATGCATTCTCAGAACTATTGCAAAACCAAATTAAATTTTTTTCCAGGAGCGCCAAATATATAACTATTCTTAGGCAACCATTTAACTTAGATTATGTGTTAATTCCAGATAGTTTGGGGAATTTAGAGAATAAGGAACTTGTGGTACAGCAGCGTTAGCATAGCACCTCAGGGGAAGGTGCCCTCGGAAAGGCTCAGGGTTGGGGCAGAAAGTGTTCTCCAGAGTGAGTCCAAGCTCTTCTTCCTGTGAAAGCCAGCCTGTGCTGTGACCACTGACTATACCTGGAAGTGGTTTCCTGTTGGTGGACAGGGTGTAGGAAAGAAGCTCTGAAGGACAGATAGTGTGAGAGTCAAAGAGAAGGAAAAGGAAAAGAAGCAAGGATGCCTGCCCTGCTATCCTGAAGGACTCCTTTAACTCTCAGGGTCCCAGTGCGATTTCTGCTGCTCCTTAGAGATGAAGGAAAAAGTCTCCAAAAGGCAGCCATTGCCTCCAAGTACTCCATTTTTCAGGTCCAGGAGCTCTCTACCACAATCCGTGCTACCTCTGTAGAACTCAGAGGTGGGGGAGGGAATAAAGTACATAGGCAGGGTATCCTAGAGGGCACTTGGTTTTGTAATTTTAAGCTCACATGGGAAGAATAGTAAGATTTCTGAATCTCAGCACATGTGGATTATTATGAAGTATGCTCTTTTATGATGGAAGGTAAGTGAAATGTCAAAGCAGCCAGCATTTAAAGGAAGAAACATGTTGGACATTAGTCAGCAGGATGGAAATATAGCTCCTCTCTAGCGCATGATGGTGATGGTGCTAGGATTGCTGTGAACCCAGCAGCACAGTGGTCAGTGTGGCCTTGGCCCCTTGGAAGGGAAATGGCCAATTCTAAACTTTGTAGTCAGGTCATGTTTGTGGATTGCTGATCCAGTGATTCGTTGAGATTCTCACAAGTAAAGCTGTCATTTAGAGCCACCTTTAGTGATAGCAGATATTTTTCAAATAACTATAATTTCTTTAGAATTTAACTGTAGAATGAACATTTAAGTACAGTTTAAAAAGAATTTTTCTATTGTTTTTAAGAAGAAAGACCGAGAAAGCCCATATAACTAGATGTAAATCCCCATCTGCAACTACTAAAAAATACTTCGCGAAGATTGTCCTCACCAAGATTTATCAGAGGAAAATTGGTGGCCCTGCAAATAGTGAGGTTCACACAGAACAAGTCTGAATTCCTGAGCTTCTTTGCATGCAAATACTCACAATGTTTCATTACTTGGTTTTCTTGCTGTGCTTTCACATTGTTTGGAAAAATTTTCAAAAATAGAAAATGAAAAATTCTGTCTGAAAGAGAAGTAAAGAAAACATAGTTAAGCTTTCATTCTTTAAATCTGATCGCGTCTATTTCTGCTTTGTTCCTCTGGATTCTTCACTCTTCCTCGGGCAGCGCCGTGCTCCCACCATTGTCCTAGCTGAAATGCCTCCTGAGGGGTGACGGAAGCCTCGTGAATTGGCAACAGAGTGCTTCCAGCTTACACAGAAGGCTTCGGAATGCTGAGCGTTCTGTGTGGGCCCTAGAGATGAAAAACAAATTCCTCAGACCGCACCCTGGGTTTTCAAGGCTTATTAAAAGCTACCTTATTGTGTATTAAAGTTTGCTCCTTTCCTCCTCTCCCTTCCATCTCAGCCCTGATTAGCAATCATAGGGCGCTCATGGCTTTGAATTGAAAGTGGAATCTTTTGTAAGGATTTCAGGTGCTGGAGGTCCAATCATGCTGCGAATTTCAGGTCTCGGCCTCAGCGCAGGAACATACATGGGTGCGCTCCGCCCCGCCCACCGTCTTTGCTTCGAAGTTTAGCCTGTGCTGCTCGGGAGGGGGAGGGTGCCTAGAGAGCAAAGCAGGCCCGAGCTTGCCTGCGGGAGTTTTTATCTAGGGCTGAAGAGCCTAAGGCGGTTGCAGTGGTGGTAAGAATGAGGGGAGAGGACCAAGGCTGGAGAGCAGCAGCTTTTGCAGAGAAGGAGGGAGAGACAGACAGCTCCACCTGCAATTCTCTGTGGTTCTCTGTCTCTGCTGGCAGAGACAATTCCAGCGCGGATACCTTCACGCAGAATCAGAAAGGTGGAGAGCCTGTCGGCAAAGTTTGCCCTCCTGGACTTTCAAAACTTCTTGTGTATAGCTGGCTCTGTGTCTGACATAGGCTCATTGTGTGTAGATAAATTCAAGGAAAACAGGAAATTCGGATGTTGTGGCCTTCAAATGATCGTACTTGGTTCTTTTTTTCACTTGGCCCTTTTTGGAATTTAACATAGATGCCCGGAAGGCTTGCGGGCGACCTGCGAGGGGCCGTGGGAAGTTTGTATAAACATTGCACAGGCCCAGCCGGAGGCTCTTAGTCGTCAGCAGTATCCAGGGTCTTGAGTGTGAGGGACACAGAGGGTCTCAGCTGAAGCTGTCATCGCTGTCAGGACGATCTCTGGACCCTGCAGCTCCCAGTCTCACCCTGATTCTGGCCCATAACCACATAATCCTTTTTTTTTAAATCCTAGCTAGATGTAGTCTCTTTCATCTACTAGAACAGAAACTCTGGAATGCTGGTTTTCCCTGCCAGCAACTTCAGAAGGGATGTGACCTCTTTACAGGCGCGTCGCGCATCGTGTCTGTCATTTCCCTTTCCAGCTTCGCCTCCTGTCAGCCCACACTTTACCTGCTGCCAGAAATAACTTATAGCGGCAAATCTAGCAGTTGTGCTGGGTTGCTTGCTGTTGTCTGCACACGTGGGTCCCACACATGCCAGTGACCTCGCTGTACGTTCCCCGTAGCTGCCATCCTCTTAACACCTGGAGCTGGTAGAGCCTGGCACGGCCCGTATCGCCCTGACCTCCCCTCCTGACTCATCTTCCTGTGCACACTCACGAGTCTTCTTGCTCCAGGGTTTCTGAAGGGTGTTCGCGTGGTGTCTCAGGCCGCAGTGCACGCTCGAGCACCTCTCTGTCTTCTCACCGGGCTTTTCCTCAGCCTGATCGCCAGCTTCCTTTTAAGAACGTTCTATGAGTCTGCGTGCCACTTAGAGACCCTTCCTTAGGGGGCGCTGTGTTCCGTTCACAGCTCTGCAACCACAGCAGGCTGGGCACAGCTGTCAGCTGTCCTGCGCCTCCGCCCTCGAGGGTGGGGATGGGCGCCACCTATTTTGTCATCTGCAGACTGGACACAGTGTCTGGAACATGCTAAGTAAGTGCTCAGCACACATTCTTTAAAGCTCCGTTATGAGTGCGTGACTTAGAACACAGATGTTTTGTCCTCTCAGCCCCCCCAATCCTCAGGTAAAGTGGAGTCTCTTCACAAGGCACAAATACCTGCTGGCTGATTAGCTATAAATAGGTTGATCCCAAATAGGCAGCAACAGCCCAGGGTCACTTTCGCGGTGCCTTAGCTAATGAACTGATTGGGAATGCCTCAGTGGGCTGAGATGATAACCGCTCAGTGTCTCTCCTACTGTGAGCTCTGACTGGGTGGGTCAGGAAAACAACAGGGCATCAGGCCTGGCAGTGAGAACAGGCGCTATGTAGGATGGAGTAAATTGGATAAGATAGGGCGCCTCACCCGTTGTAGACCTTAAGTGTTGTGTTGTTGTGTTTCAGTTACCGAAAATGCAAGAGGGTATTTGTTACTCTGTGTCTCAGTCAAAGAATCTAGAAAATACGCCCCAAAGAAGGAAGGCCATCTGCCACCTGCCACCCATTCAGGAGGTCAGCAAATCAGCAAGATTCCTTCTGCCTGACAGAACCCCATGGAGCTCCGTCCTCTGTTTGCATACTGAGTGAATCCTCAGGCTGGGGCTGGGATGCAGGGGTGGAGAGCTTGGCTAGCTGGCAGGCACAGGCCTGGCTTCCATCCCCAGGCAAACAAGGTTCGTCCAGGAGTCTTTTGTTTTGTGTGGTACCGGGAATTGAACTGAGGACCCTGCGCTTGCCAGGCAGGTGCATATTCTACTGAGCTATCTCCCTGACTCCAGGATTCTGATTTGAAATTGAAGATGCTCTTCTTTTGGGAGAAAAATAATTTTTAAGTAACACACCCGACTACAGTATTTTTGTTCATTTTTTACTAAAGATCTAAATAGGTAAGTTTTACCCTCCTGAGCCTAATTCTCCCACTGCTCTAAGTCCCTGGTAAGGACTAGAACTAAGTGGTCTTTCAGATGCTAGTGTTGTACTACATTTTTTTTTTTTTTTTAAAGAGAATATAACATGGTAAAGGAAAAAAAAAAGGCTCCAAACATTAGAAATATCTGGTAGTAATCCCCACAGCCAGAAATGAGCTACGGAGGTCCTTTAGCTCCAGGGTGAATCGGCCTTTTGGCGGCACTTTTGTTAAGGAAGTGGATGGTGTTGTTTGTGTTTTGTCCATCTGAAAGTGACCCTGGAGCTGCAGAGCTGGCTGGGAAGCCAGGAGCACAGGTGAGAGCAGTCTGCGGGCCACTGGTTTTGAGAGCTGAGATTCTGCCGCAGCCGGGCGGGCTTTACCTTTTGCTTTTTACTTACTCTTTGGTCAGCCAGTTTCTAAAAGCGCAGCAGTGGCTGGGGTACGTCAGCGTGGCGTCCAGGAGATTGGCAAATTTTTCTCTTGAGGGCAATTTCTTTAGAGAATAGGAGGAGGTGGCAATTAGCGTCTGAACGGACTCTAGTCCGTAGCTCGGCAGGGCCTGCAGTTTGGTGGAAGAAATGTCCCTGAACAGCAAAGGGAAGAGAAGCCTTTTACTTATTAAGTTTGTAGCTTCTACACAGAGAATGGAACTTGCCCCAACAGTCCTGTCTTACGGGCTTCTCAGGAGTCTCGTCCCCATGTGCTTACCCTTACTTCTCCTTTGCAGCTACTCTCATTGATACCTGTTCTTTCCGAGGTTGAGTAGACTCCATACCTGCCATGTGCTCATGAGCATTTCTGCCTTGCCCCTCTCCTGCTCCTTTCTCCCCCTCACATTCTCCCTCTTTCCTCTTAGCAGAAGTGAAATAACTCCTTGCCTTTTAAGACATGGGACACGTGTAGTGACATAAGCTTTTGTGCTTGAGCCCAGGGGGCAACGTTCAGGGCTTCAGACGCCTCCTCTCAGACTGATCAGCCCTGCAGGGGAGGTTTTCATGCAGCGCTGGTTACCTTGGTAGGAGCTGCTCTGTGGACCAGCCATCATCTACCTGGGAGGCAGAGTGTGCCGCTCTAATGGCAAGCTGGAGTCATCCGTCCAAAGCAAGCAGACGTCCACCAGGCAAGCAGAGCTGTGTGGAAGGCTCAGCCTTTGTAAACAAGTGTCGGTCTGCCCCAGGACAGAGGGTCTAGTGTGTGGGAGGACGATCCCCAGGGGTTGGTGGATGAACTTGGCAGTCTGGACCCGTGAGTGTGTAGCCTCTAATGGGACAGGAGGGGGCAGGCTCTGCCTCGTGGTGCCAGCCCCAGTTGCTATCAGCACATAGTTAGGCAACCGGGGTCCTCCCTGCAGTGCAGAGCCCTGCCTCATACATGTTAGGGACTCTATGGATTTGGGGTTGCTTTTGGCTTTGAGTGGATACATTTAAAATGAGGATTTTGGAAATAGCAAAGCCTCATTACAAAAGAGTGGCTCTCTGGCAGTGAGTTTCAGTTTCAGGGACAGACTAGTGAAGGAAATATGCTAGGGTAGAAGGACTGTTTCTGGATACATTCCAATCCTGGAAGTCTGGCCTGGGGCAGTTACAGTCACTTTGAAGCAGCCAACCAGTGTCTCTTCAGGATGGCCACACAGTGCCTGGTCATACTTACTCATGTTCTGACCTTGGCACTTCCATGGAACACACCTTGGTGGTGGACAGGGGCAGCTGTCTGCCCTGCAGCCTGCAGGGTGCACTGGGCTGGGGACTATTGGGCTGACCTGCAAGACTGGCTCTGCTATATTTTCCATATGAGCCATCTGGACAGTGACCCCTACAGTTGGTTCACCAGAGCTGTGAGTCTGCAGAGAGACGGGGGGCTGAGGAGGCGGGAGGCTGAGCTGCAGAAGCCTAAGTGAGCAGAAGTGGTACGGGCGGGTGGAGGGCAGAGGTGGTTCGGGTAGACGGTGGCAGAAGTCAAGAGGCAGGGTCAGGACTTGGCCTGCAGGGCATTAGGAGGCAGAGTCAGCCTCAGTAGCAGAGGGGCTAGGAAGCAGGTGAAATGGGGGCGGGACGTAGGAGCCACAGCCCCGGTGGCAAGCCTGTGGCATGCGTGTGTGGTCTCAGGGGCACCCATTCCCCTAGAAGTTTCTCAAGCTTATCTTTATAGCAGAGCACTGCTCTCATTGGCTGAGGGCCTTGGGCTATTGTACTCTGTGCCACCACAAACACGGTTGTGCGTGTATCATTCTGGCATGATGCTTTTTGGGGGAAATATCAAGAAGGGGGAAACTAGGACACATGGAATCGCTGATTTTCATTCTTCGAGAAGCCTCCACACTGATTCCCACAGTGCAGGCGCCGGACCCACTGAGTACATTCACTCCTGTGATTCTTGTCTCTCTTCCCGTTCTAAGAAGGCAGAGGCTATCTTCTCTGCTTTTGCTTTGATGTCTAATCCAATGCCTGGTGTACAGTTATTGAATGGATGAATAAATGAACAATCAAACGAATGTCCTAGGCTGCCCCGGTTCTAGCATTTTCTGCATTGGGAGGCAGCACGCTGGCGTGCTGTTGTCTCATTGTGTGCCTGCAGTCTCTCTAGGCATAGAGAATAGCCATTTGCTCCCTACTATTTCTCTAGCCAGGTCTCTGGTGAGCAAGTCATGCTGTGTGTGTGTGTGTGTGTGTGTGTGTGTGTGTATTTTAGGACAGGGTCTACAAGGTCTACAGGGTCTCACTGTGTAGATCGGACTTGAGTGATCCTCCTGTTTACAGCCTCCCGAGTGCTGGGATTACAGGGGCACACCACCACCCCCAGTCTCAGCACACCCCTGGGGCGGGGCTGGCATGGCAGGCCTGGGGATTGAACTCCTGGTCCCTGTCTGCCTAAGCAGATGCTTTAATCCACTGAGCTATTTGGCCAGCCCTTAGCAAGTCATGCTTGATCAGAATTTGTTGAAGAAATAACAGGGTGCAGGAGGAGGAAGTAACAGACTTCCACCTTGGTGCAGGGGCAAATGTGGGCTCTCTGTGTTAGAGCTACAGAGTTCTGGACCTGTCCTATTTCTCCCTGAAGCCTGGCTGAAGCTCAGCTCCTCTTTATGGGATGCTCAGGTTCCTCAGCATGCCAACGGGAGACCCCTGGCATGGGATCTTCTTCCATTCAGTTTCTTCTTCCTCCCATGTACCCACATGCTCACCCCAAGCCACCAGCATTTGAGGAGTGAGGCGCCCCACTTGAGCCATCTGGGAATTTGATGCAGAGCAGGCCAGCTGTGTCCTGCCAAGGGCCAGGGTTAAACCAGCTCTCCGGCTTTGGGTCCCATGGATGGGTTCCAGGGGGAGCTAGCCCCTCTGGTAGCGCATGAGGCCAACCTCCAGATCTGGTGCTGCAGGTTGAGTCTTTATCCCCTCACATGCATATGTTGAATCATTGGTCATTGGAGAGATGCAAATTGAAAAAGTGCTGAAATTCCATCTCATCCCAGAAAGAATGGATGTCTTCAAGAAATCAACCGATAACAAATACTAGAGGGGCTATGGCAAAAAAGGAACGCTTCTCCACTATTGAGGGGAGTGTGGACTGGTGAAACCTCCACAGAAATCAGTGTGGGGGTTTCCCAGAAAGCTAGCGCTAGAGGTTCCACTTGACCCAGCCACCCTCTTCTTGGTATCTTCCTAAAAGCATTTTACTAGAGTGACGCATGCACGCCCATGTTTATAGTAGCACAGTTTGTAATAGCTAAATCTTGGAGATAACTCAAATGCCCATCAACCAATGAATGGATGTGGAAGATGTGGTTTCTATCTATAATGGAGTGCTGTTCTGCCATAGAGGAGGATGAGCTGGAGGCACTTCAAGGCAAAGGGATGCACTTGAGACCAGATTCTTCAGTCACATGAACTGAGCATACATCATTTCTCTGGTATGAGAAACCCAAAGTCTAAGCAAGGACCAAAATGTGCAATAGACGTTGGGAAATGGGAAAAAATGTTCAAATGGGAAGAACAAGGGATTTTCAGGGGTAAAGGATGGGAAAAGAGAATAGAAGGGAAAAATAGAAATGAGGGGAGGGGAGAGGAATGGGAGAGACAGAATCCAGATGTATCTATCGCGTACAGGTCCGTATTCCCTAGGATGATTGTGATCATTATGTGTATCTGAAATGTACCAATAGATTTAGTTAAAAACATCCACATGATGATGCCTAATCCCTTGTACCTCAGAATATGATCTTATTTGCAGATAGCCTTGATACAGGGGTAGGCACATTGAAAAGAAGTGAATAGGGTAGGCCCTAATTCAGTCTGCCTGTGTCTTTATGAAAAGGGGGAGCTTGAGGTCTCTCTCTCTCTCTCTCTCTCTCTCTCTCTCTCTCTCTCTCTCTCTCTCCCTCCCCCTCCCCTTTTCTCTCTCTTCTTACAGCCCTCAGAAGGAGCCACACCTATCGATGCCTTCACCTGGACTCCTGCCCTCTAGTACCAGGAGAGGACGCATTGCGCTCTGTCCTGGCAGCCCTACTGCACCTGGTCTCTGTAGCAGCAGAGGAGCCCAAGTGTGCAAGCCAGGCATGTGTGATGTAGCTGGGCATGCTGAGTGTGTGTCGGGGTGTGCAGGGTGGGGATAGCTAGGGTGTGCAGGGTGGGGATAGCTGGGGTGCGTAGGGTGGGGAGAGTTGTGCACAGGTAGGGATAGCTGGGGTGCACAGGGTGGGGATAGCTGGGGTGCACAGGGTGGGGATAGCTGGGGAGCTCAGGGTGGGGATAGTTGGGGTGCACAGGTGGGGATAGCTGGGGTGTGCAGGGTGGGGATAGCTAGGGTGTGCAGGGTGGGGAGAGTTGGGGTGCTCAGGTGGGGGTAGCTGGGGTGTGCAGGGTAAGGAGAGTCGGGGTGCACAGGTGGGGATAGCTGGGGTGTGCAGGGGGGAGGGGGCAGCAGCTTTGTACTCACAGGATGCTGGGGCCACTGGTCCCCCAGAGGGCTTCATCATCCATCTTCTCCAGGTGCACATTTTCTTTGAGCTCCCTGTGGGGAAGGGCAGTTTCTTGTGGGGTTTGCGCCTCAGTTGTGAACACTCACAGCTAAGTGCACACATGTGGGACCTCGCTGTGTGCACAGTGAGCTGGGGCAGAGAGGAATGGGTGGGAGCTGTAGAGAAGGGAGAAGATTCGCTAGTCCTTGGTGAGATTGCCTCGGGGAGGCACCGCCTGGGTAGCTGTGGGGCCATGCAGTGGACTGATCCCTGCTAGGTGTGTGTGTGAGGGGAACAGAACCCCAGAGGCCATGCTCCTAGGGCTGGGGCATTCCAGTGCTGCTTGGGCAGGAGCTCCCTGAGCCTCTTCACTTCTGTGCTTTTGGCTCAGCACAGCTCAGCCTGACCTCCTACCTGGGCTGCTGTGCTGTTTGCAAGCCCAGACCCTTCTCTGGGTGATGGAAAGATCAGGTGCCTGGGCTCAGCCTGCCAGCTTCCCGTATGCCCTTTGTTCTCTAAGGCAAAGGCTGCGATTCACACTGTGGGAAAGCCTGGGTGGTGGGCACGCATTCATGCGTCACACTGTGGGTGACGTAACGTGTCACAGAACCTGTGTCTGCCACACCATCATCCAGTCGTCACATGGCCCAACAGATGCAGATGGTGGGAGATTGCCCCTCCTGCACTGTCATCTGCACAGCTCTGCACTGTGCCTGCTTGTTACAATCCAGTCCTGCGCATGGGTGTTGGCAGCTGTTTTCACAGGCTTCTGCTCGGCCTTCTCTTGGAAACCCCAGCCCTTCGGTCAGATGCACCAGTTGTCATTTCCCCTGGGCCCATCTCTGCTCCCAAGGAGATGGTGTGGTCAGAGCCAACTGTTGTTTAAAACCCTAACAAGAAGACATCTTCCTTCATAACCCTCTGTGGCTTTTCTCCTGATCCAGTCTGTTTTCATTATAGGTAGTTAGAGTTATAAGCCATTAAAACAGAGCCCTGTGAGCAAATAGGCCTCCCATCAGCCAGGTCAAGTTTGTTGTTCTAATTCCATGGAGGAGCATTTTGCGTATTCCCATTAAAATGCACATCCTTTGGTATACTGCATTGTCTTACTTTGTCGAAGAAGAAACCCTATTCATTGAGCACATTGTCCTGAGCTTCACTTCTGGGAATTCTCCCAAGTGATGCGATCCCTTCAGTGTGAGAAGTGGAGGGAGGCAGGATGATGTTTTGGGGCATAGGCTGCTAACTGGGTGCCCAGGTGCCCAGACAGTGCTCTCTCTTCCCTGTTCACCCTCAGGAGGATTATTGGGGCATTTATAGACTGTCCCTGCCATTGTTCTGAACAATATGGACAGCCTGTCTGTAAGGAAGGTGTCAGAGGCTCAGTAGATGGTGTCATTAGAAAATTTTGTTCACCAGCTTAAGAAACTCTTTCCTCTTCCTCATCTAAAGGCTTTAGTGAATGTGACATATCCTACTGTCACAGAACTCAGGCAGACACCAGACAGCTATGGGGACCTAGTGAGTCCAGCCCATGCCTACTACCTGTGCAGAAACTTTGCTGAGTTTCCATTCCCTCCCACTGGTCAAAGGAGCCTTGGTGAATCCTATCTTGTCCCCTCGCTGTTGCAGAAACCTTGTTGACAAACACTTCACGCCTCTCCCATCACTGCTGAGTTCATGTGAACACTGAGTGCTTCAAAAATGTTGAAACAAAGGGGCAAAAGGCAATCACAGACCTCCAGCCCACCCAGAACAAGTTCAGGAGACAAGGCCATGTAAGAACTTGGAAGTCACAAACCTAAAATTTCTGAAATGATAGAAAGTGAAGTAAAACCCCAGAAAGAATTGGTATCATAAAGAAATCAACCAACAACAAATGTTGGAGAGGCTGTGGGGGAAAAGGAACCCTTCTCCCCTGTTGGTGGCAATGTAGACTGGTGCAACCATTATGGAAATCAGTGTGGAGACTCCTTAAAAAACTAGGACTGGAAATCCCATTCAAACCAGCTATCCCCCTCCTGGGAATTTTCTCAAAAGAACTGAAAACATCATATCATAATGACATATGTGTATCTATATTTATAGCAGCACAATTTGTGATAGTCAAATCCTGGAAACAACCAAAATGCCCATCACCTGAGGAATGGATGAAAAAGATGTGGTATTTTTATACAATGGAGTATTATTCAGCTATAAAGAATGATAAACTCGAAGCCTTTATGTTTAAGTGGATGACACTTGAAGATATAAGTGAAATAAACCAGACCCACATGTGCAAATATTGTATAGTCTGCCTAGTGTAAGAACTCAAAAGAAGAAATAAAAATAGGTATAACACAATTAAAAGGAAAGCAAGAACTTAAGGATTCTGAGCAACAAAGGGAGGGCAAGGAGAAGAGCTAGGAAACATGACGGAAACATGACAGGGGTAAAACCATACATTTATATGCACAAGATGGTTAAGGCAGTGGTCCTGAGAATCTTCAGCAGGTTTTTGAAATAAATCCTTTTTTTTTTTTTTTTTTTTTTTTTTTTTTTTTGGCAGAACCGGGGATTGAACTCAGACCCTTGCGCTTGCTAGGGAAGCGCTTATTCCACTGAGCCATCTCCCCAGCCCCTTCAGCAGGTTTTTGAAACTAGCAGTTAATTGGTAGGATTCTCACCCTGACTATGCTGATACCTGTGAACTGGACAACTGCACTGAAGATAGCAATTATGTAATACTAGGGCTATGCTTGGAGTGCCTGTCATTCTGGCCTTCTAAATACATACTGCTTGTCATGTCGTACCAATTACTGCCATACTGTCTCTCAAGTGAATGTTTGTTTAAAAAAGTAATAAATGAAAATAAGAGACAAAGAAAAAATGCCACAGGATTATCCTGCTACAATGCTGTATGTGTTTGGATTTCTAAATTTCTGTGTAAAAATATGTAATTGTTTATTCATATTTTTTAAATTTTATTTATTTTTTCTTCACATTCTGTCTGGATTTAAAGTTTAGCATATCAATACTTGATGGAAAATACCTGTTCTGTGTTATGTCTAAGATATTTGATATTCAGACAGATAATGAGGTTAAGCGCAACTGCTTATGTCATAGGATAATAACATCACTGAGCTTCTCTTCTGGAGGGTTAACAACCTCAGTTTTGAGACCAAAAATTAGTAAAAAGAAGGACAGCCAACATTTTGGCCCTAGCCATTCAAGGTCAGTGAGGACTCAGGACATAAGAGAACCTGTGCTATAACATCTTGTAACTCAGTTGTGTCCCAAATTTTCTAATCAAAGAGATTATGGGGCCACAGAGAAAGTGATTGACGATGTGGAGTGTGCCTAAGGAGAGTCACATGGAGAGAAAACATTCTCTCAGGCTTTCACAGAGAACAAATTGGTCAAGCGATGGCCATGACTCATCCACATGGCTGATGCTGACAAGGGATCTGCAGACTATGGTACAGGGTTTCAGGGTGAATCCTGAGGGGATCTGACTACCTTGTCAGTATCAGAAATTACATTTCTTGTTATATACGTCTTGCTCTATTTTCGTCTTAACCATCCAGCAAAAAAGTGTTAAAATGAGGTAGAGAAAGTAAGGCCATATTAGTATGATGAGCTGTAAAAGGCTCAAGTCAATAGCTTCTGACATTGCCAGTCCTACGGATAACCCACTACTGTTATGGACTACTTGAACTATTTTAGATTATTTTGTTGAATTCACACACCTATAATATTTAAATGGCAATGGAATACCCATCTCTGGCAAAACTAAACAAACAAACAAAAAAAGATATAAATGAAGGACCATTTTGTATCTGTATATACAGGATAGTTAGGATAGATATACAGCTACTTTCTCTTAATTCAATGAGAAGAAAGATTTGTACTAATAGTGTTTGGACAGGATATCGTGTCTGTGTTTTATGCTATGAAGACAACAATATGCAATGCATTAATTATTGTAACTGTCCTCCTAACCTGTTTTGAAACTGTCTTATTGTTATTTGTTTCTCAATAAAAGTAATAAAAAAAAGAAAGTGAAGAAAAGAAACAACTCTATCAGGCTATAGAAGAAATCAGATCAGAAATAATCACTGAAGTAAAAAAAGAAAAAAAGAAATGACAAAAATCATGAAAGAACTACTTACCATACCTAAAGAAGATATAGATAAAAAGAGGAAAATAGAAAAATGGTGGAAGCATTGAATAAACAATATAGGAAAGAATTAGAATTCATGAAACAGATTCAAACAGATATCCAGGAAATAAAGAATTCCATGGAAAGGTGGAAGAACCACTTGATTGAAACTGAAGATAGACTTAAACCTCAAAGACAGCATTGCAACTAGTGAATGTAAAAGGAAACAGCTCTTACAGATAACAAGGAAGAAGCTACAAAATGATGCAGAACCCCCCCCCCCAAGACTAGTAGGTGTCAGCGAGGAGTCAACACAATGACATAAAAAGACTGTGTACAGAAGTAGTAGCAGAGAATTTCCCAAGCATGGAAAAATCTGACATACAGTTCAGAGAGGAATGTAGAACTCCAATTAGCCCTAATCAAAATAAATGTGCACCTGAACACATAATCAAGAGCCCAGACATTCAGGAAAAGAACAAAAAATTAAAAGCTGTTAGAAGAAATAGATCACCTATAATGGAAAGCCCTTTAGAATCACAAAAGATTTCTCAACACAAGCCATCAAATCAAGAAGAACTTGGAGTGAAGTATTTGAGGTCCTGAAAGAAAACAACTAACCCAGATTGTTGTACCCTGCAAAGCTATCAAATTTAATGGAGGTATAGCTATTTCCATGACAATAACAAAAAAATTCATGACCATCAGATCAACCCTACAAAAAGTACTGACATATATTCTAGAAAGATACAGAAATGACCACAACTTCAAGAACAACAACAGAAAGGAACCACTAAGCAGAGAGCACAATTTAACAGAGAAGAAAAGTAGGGAACCCACAGCAGGAAAATAACATAACAAAGATAAGCCAACACATATCAGTTATAACCATCAATGTAAATGGCCTAAATT